CTTACTGTTTTAAAGGGTCTATGATTCAAGTTAAGCTGAAATTCATAAAATTGAGGGAAAACAAGCTCAGAATGAGAGATACAGTATAATGTCCTTTATATAAAACACAGAAAATAATACCATCTATCATTTATGCAAACATACATATGTAGTAAATATATAAAAACACGAATAGAAAGACACACGTAAACTCCATGATAGAAGTTTAACCTGGAAAAGCAAGGGAGGCAGGTATAAATGGGGCTTCATCTGTGCTAGTTAACATGATATTTCTTAAAAGAGAAATATGTGTAGTCCGTATGGTAAAAGGACAACACCTCTAAAATGCGGGTGGTGTGTACATGACTATGTATTAGCTATTTGTTGTAAATGTTCTTCCTTCTTTTCTTTATATTTGAAATCTATTTTATTTAAAGAAGAAATCTATCTTATTTAAAGTCCCATGTTCACGGGGACATTGATGGAGCCATCTATGAGCCCAAAATAAATTATAAAAATGCTTCATATATAAGTCTTTTCTTGAAAGTTAGGAAAAACTATTATGAATCTACTATGTTTGAGACAGGAAGGGCACAACCCTTAAAAGAATGACATAGCCATTGAAGACACAACAAACTGGTTAGAACAACTAGGTCCAAGATGGCGGACAAGTTGACTTCTACTAGACCTTGAGCCTCATTATACACTCATTGTAATCCATCAGCATACTAAATGACATACCCACAGGCACCATGACGGTTCTGAGGCCAACCATAAAAGGCCAACCATAAAAGGCCAAAAAGTAGGCGATGACCCAATTCCTGGAAATCTCCGCTCCGTCCCCAAAACAGTTGGAATAATCCTCCCACTCATTAGCCTATGAAATTGCCCAGCCTATAAAAACTAACCGCCTATATTTTGGGGACTCTTGCCTTCTGAGATACCCTGTCTATGAAGTGTGTATCTCCCTGAATAAAACTCCTTTTACTTTACTATGGCTCGCTCTTGCATTCTTTCCTGCGCAAAGCCAAGAACCCACACTTGGTGGTAGTCCCACGGACTCACGCGAAACCTGGGACGTAACCATCCTCTCGTGCCCCACTTTCTTTCTTGCAACAAGCTCTAGTAGACAAAATTTTAATTTGAAAAGTGGTCAGGAAGAATGTGGACTATGGGGTGTCTTTGCATTGTGCCCATCACTGCTACTTGAGTGGAAGTAAAGAACTGAGGTTAAAATGTAAAATGACCTTTGAGGAGCGTAGCCATTTCATTTCAATTATTATCATATTGTTTACCTCATGGTCATGCTTTCTTTTTTTTGTATCATTTATTGGAATTAGGATTTAGGGTTAAATTTATTACTCAATAGTAATTATTATATTTGAGTTTCAAATGTAACAAACATTTTTTTAAAAAGTCTGGTTGCAAGTTGACCCAGAAGTCCTTGCAATATGGCAAAATTCCTCTAGAAAGGGAACTGATTTTTAAATTTAAGATAATTAGCTTAATGAGGTATTTAACTATGAAAGGCACATCCTGGTGTGAAATAAAACTCATTTTATGGCAAGACAAGAAAAACTTAAACATAAAAAAATTTTCTCTGCCCTTTGGATTCCACTCTCCCTTCTACTGTGCATTGTGTATCTGACTTATGCATCGACCAGACCTCCCCCATCAGCAGAAATACCTGCTCAACCATAAAGAACAACATTCTCCTAGCATTAGCAAGACAACTCCTTCAAAGATAACATTCCTTCTTGATCATGTACGGGATCACATGACTTACCACGATGACCCTTAGATCTGGATTATGTAAACTGTCAATAATACATCATTTGATGTACAGCCCTCTGCCTCAAAAAACTTAAATAACTGTGCCTTGACTTCTAATGGGCGGAACAGTTCTCAGACCTGAGATGCTCTTGCTGAGTTATAATCCTCAAATTTGGCCCGAATAAAATTTTCCATTTCTTTCTTAGATTGACTGGTTATTATTATTTTTTTTACACTGGATATCAGATGTTTGGAGAAATAGGCTGAATTTCTTGGAAAAATAATTTAACAGATTTTGAATCTTACTCCAGCAGTCAAAGAAAACAAGTATTCTGTAAGCCCCCAAACAGGGTAAAGAGGAGAAACCAGAGGGAGAAGATTTCAGTGGAGCGCGAGTATGCACAGTATTTTGATGGCAGGGGAGAGACCGAGGAGAGTGGCCAGTGAGGAAAATATGGAGTCTAATCTAGCCAGGAATCTCGACAAAGTAAAGTCTAAGGTTCAACTTGAAAGTTGTAGGCTCTTCTGCTCACGTTTTCCTGTTATGAATAAGTCTTCAGTAAAATTCTCTTAGATCCCCAGGTGGAGCTAGGGAACATCCTCAAATGAAGGGAGAGGTGTGGTGCTGTGTTGGAATGAGTGACGCGGGGGGAAAGGAGCGATCACAGATGCACAGGCATGTGAGTTTCCTAGGGCTACGATATTAAATGGTCACAATCTGTGCAGCAAATTAAAACAACAGAAATTTATTCTCACAGTTCTGGAGATCAGAAGTCTGAAGTCAAGATGTCCGCAGGGCTGTTTTCTCTTTGAAGGCTCTGGGGAGAAATCCTTCCTTGCCTTGTCTTAGGTTCTCATGACTCCGGCCAGTCTCAGTGTTCTTTGGCTTGTAACCGAATCACTCTAATCCCTGCCTCTGTCTCCAGCTTTTCACCATGTCTCTGTGGCCTCCTCTTATAAAAACGCCAGTTGTTAGCTTTAGGGCCCACCTGAATCCAACATGACCTCATCTTAGCCTAACTGCACCTGCAAAGACCCTACTTCCAAATAAGGTCACGTCCTGAGGTTTCAGGAGCACATGAATTTCTAGAAACCCTACTAAACCCACTATCACAGCCGTGGCAGGGATTTGAATGAGGAGACATGGGGAATATAATTTTTCCATATTTTCGTCAATCTACTTCAGACAGGAGGCACTGGAATTGCCTTAGAATGTGAGGTTGGTGCTCAAACAATTTTATTTCAATATTAAAGAACTGACCCCCAAGATTTGAGGACTGCAGAATAGCTGGGTAGTAGACATTTGGTTACACTGGAAATTAGTGACTTAGCAAAGTTAACCATGATGACACTGAACACCCATAGTTCAGCGACTTGAATAATTAAAAGACTGAGAATGTGCTGCGTCAAAATAAATTGTACTAAACCTCAGATGATATTGAGTAAATCTATTGTAACTTAAAAGTCCCTACTTCGCAGTGGATTAAGCAGGGGATGAAAATAACTGTAGTGCCCCAGGAAAGGGTCAGGACCTGTAGGCTAAGCCACAGTGGGAGATATTTCTGGGACACTTCATGTGCAAGCAAGTAACTGCTGTTCTAGGGAATCTCGTCTTGAGACTCACATTGTAGGGCAATGCATGGCCAGAGAAGCCAGGTTAAGGGAGCAAATGATAGGTTGTGAACTGGGAATACTTTGGTGGTCCAGTGGTTAGGACTCCATGCACTCACTGCCGAGGGCCCGGGTTCAATCCCTGGTCAGGGAACTAAGGTCCCACAAGTCACCTGGTGTGGCCAAAAAAAAGGCTGGAACCTATAACCTATGTTCGGAAAGTGCTTGAATTGGAACAAAAGAAACAATCTTGTATTAGTGTAAGACTACATGTACTGCAGAACAGGAAGCCAGGACCTGGTTCTCTGAAAAAAGCCATTTGGTCCTCCGAGGTCGTGGAGGCATGGGGAGTGGCGTGTTGGGTCTCTCTACTCTATCTGAATTCCGGCACATAACTGAAGGAATTTCAAATTTTGCTAATGCAAAAGACCTGGCTGGAATCGTATTGATTTTTTTTTTTTTCTTCCATCTCATTAGCTCTTGTGAGAATCAGGCTGTTAAGTCAGCTGGGATAACTCCTAAACAGGACCAGTGCTAACCACTGGATTCACTGCTGATTTAAATTTCTATTTCAATTTACAAGACATATTAGTTATACGTACTACAAAGGAACGCATGTACTGTGTTAATGGGATACTATATGTTTTTAGTGCCCATTTATGGAATCATATAAAGCTTGAAACACCACATAACTGTCAAGAATGAGCAGCATTTGTCTAAGTGAGCTGGAGACATCACTGCTCAGGCACACCCTGCTCTGCTGAAGCCTAGCTGGGCTACTGAGAAAAGGACAGTGCAGTTAAACAAGAGACACAATAAAAGAAGAGGACATCAAAGCAATCACATTATATTGAAAAAAAATGTTCAAATTGACCCAGTTACTGAAATAAAGATAGAATATTAGCAGGTAGCTTCTTCCCCTTGTGCATATGAGTAATTCTCAATACAATAATGGAGGCTACGTAAGCATTCTAGAAAGACTATGTTTCTGAGTTAATATACTTGGGGGAAGAGACTGGAGGCAATGGCTGGAATGGGATATGAAGGAAGAAACGTAAACTAACAGAGATTAATTGAGAATATTTTTGGGGAATTTGACCTAATGGAGTTCATATTGTAAGAACTCTTATGTTAAGGTCTTTCAATGATTAGGCTCATTCTTGAAAACCAAATTGCTCTTTACAAATCTCTTTCTCTCCCTTCCTTCTTTCTCTCTCCACACCTTCCGTATGACATATTTGTGGTATTTATATATAAAAAATATATAAAGCTAGCTGTGGGAGTGTTGAATGGAGTCACAGTTACAAATAGGGACTTTGGAGATCAATACACCAGGCTTTGTGATTCTGTTCTACCACTTAGTGGTGAGCTTCAGTTTCTAATCTATAAAATGGAAATGATGATAGGACTTACCTCAAAGGCTCTTCTGAAGATCAGATGAGATAACGCATTAAAGTCCCTGCATTAGAGAGTAAATATTTTCTAAAAGCTCATTATTATACTTATTTCATGTTTGGAAGAGAAGCCTTTACTTTGGTCAACTGAATGCTTAGAGAAAGACCAGAATTCATTTAATGTTGTGCTGAGTCCTCAGCAGAAATTAAATGAAAGACACACAGATATTTCGTATCATTGTATGAGTTTCAAAATAAGACATTTACTCTAAATTCACATCCTAATTACAGTCTTATTGGGTAAAAAGCACAGTAGAAAACACTAACAAATGACACATTAGTAATTGGTATATTGAGGACAGAACCTCACACAGTGTTTCATTGTATGGCTGGAATTCTGTTTGCTTGAAACACATACACTTTCAAGTTAGGGTGAGAATACAGCAAACTATTCGGACAAGCTTTAGAACTTGGTGCAGACTTGTTTTCTTTTTATTATGTTATTAAATTTGGTGTAATTTGTGCATCTGAACTGGGCATTTCAGCCTCTACTTCTGTCTAAAGAAAAAAGCCTTTCTCCCCTAATTTGGAAAGTTCAGGTTCGTATTTGACACACTTAAGAATCCCTTTGCAGTCTGGGGTGTCAGATAACTGGTGAACCGAACCCCCTGGCATTGTCCCCCAGGGTCCCTGGGATCAGGGCCGTCAGTGGCAAGTGTGGACCAAGTACTGCTGCAGAAGAAGAGGGCTCCCAGGTGCTGCCTGTTCCCCGGTACAGAATGGGGTAGGAAGTCCTACCCAATTAAACCACAGGCAAAGAGATACAACTCATCTTCAGGTGTTTGCTTTAACTGGCTCGTCATCGTTGCCAGTTTGCTACTACTGAGGATGATCTGATTCCTCTCTGCCCCTTTTTTTCCTGGAGACTTTGGTATCAAGCCAGCACAGACCCAGAGTACCACTGACAACTCTAATTTGTTTCAACACTCCTCAGAGCTTTTTCATCAACAGCGTCATGGGCTCACACTTTGTTCCTCAGAGCCTGGAACTCCCGTTTTATTAGCCTGACATTTTGTTCTGACCTCTGTTGACAGCTTCTGGCCTCTGGCGTGCACTCTGTTTAGTCACTCCTTTTATTTAGAACTTATGCTCTTTTGCTCGGCTCAAACTCATTGATTTGTGATCTGGTCACACTTGCGTTGCTCTATCTAATGTAAAATCTTATCTGATTCTCCAGCACCTCTTTTTGTCCATGACATTTATTTAGCTTCTTGCATTTTCATTTGGCTCTCACTCCTGTCCTGATTACAGATTTTAAATGTCTGCATTATACCAGCGAGGAAGAGCAGCTCCAGTTCAGAGAGACCACGACCACTGAGAACTATGCCTTATGAGTGTAAAGCACTTTATAGTATTACAGAGCATCTGCATACACACAATATCTTATGTGACCCTCACAACAATCCAGTGAGGCAGGCAAGACGATGCCCATTTCACTGGGGAATGAATGGAAGTGGGGAGACATACATAGGGACACTACTGAGAATTCTACTAGAACATTAATGTTGTGAATCCTGGGACTATGTGTTAAACCTTGAAGGAAAGGAGAGTTGAGAAAATTCAATCTGTTGATTAATAGAGAGACATTCAAAACTAACATGGAATCCCACATTTTTCCTTTTTTTGTTTGCCTTTTCTTATTTTCTCCTTTCTCACTGTCAGCCCTTTCTTCACCTACACAAAATATCTCCAGTTCTACTGAAATATTTATTTTTCTCCAGGATCTATACTGGATATTTAAAGCATGAAGTACAATGAGTTGTGTTTAAAAAAAATTTTTTTTTTACAGTTTTTATTCAATAACGTAACTAGCACACTTACGAACTTTGTTTTTTACATGTGCTTTTACCAAGGATACTAAATGCAGCAGGCTGGTGAAAAGACCTTTTTAGACTAAAACAATTTCATCTTTTTTTTTCAGCATTTTTTTTTGTTATGATCAAAATATTGTTGCTTGAAACAGCTTGGTATTTTAAGGAAACAAGTTTTGTTTTTTGGTTCAAAAATGTTGAATGAACTGCCCCAGCTCCACTAGACCTCACTATAAAACTTGAAAACAAATATGCCATAAATTGGAGAATAAGAAGACATAAATGCAAACTAAGCAAATCAAAGTCAATTTACCTTTTTAAAATTCTAAGGAATTAAAAAATCTTGACCTACTCTGAACACCTATGGAGCCCTGTTCCTTCCCACCATATACCTCTGCTCTATTATATAACTGCCTGTTTCCATGTCTATGTCTTCCTGGGACAATTAGTTCAGGAAGTCCAGGGACAATAGCTATCTTATAAGCAGTTTAGTCCAGCTCCAGGAGGTACACAATAAACATATGCTGAATGAACAAATGGATTATTTTTAGGGCATCCCTATCTCTGGTTGAGACTGGTATTTTTGAGGGTAGAGAATGCACATATAATCGGTATCCATGAGATTTCTCCTGGAACCCGATGGGTTCAGAAGACACTAGATGAGTGGGTGGTAGAGGGCTCCTGGCCTAGCTCTGAGGAAGGTAGGAACAGCCCGCCAGTCAGTACCTGGGAGGCGTCCCAGCTCAGGATGGCGGTGATGGTGGGGTGCTAGAGTGGGTAGAGGTATGAGCAAGGGAGCAGAGACCCAAACAGTACCAAGGACCAGGGGAGGAAGGCATGCGGAAGCCAGGCACCATTCGGGAACCAAGGTTGTTTGGAGGAGCCACAAAGGGATCTTGGAATCAGTTGTGCTGTGACTTGTCCAGAGGTGAAGGTCCTTTTAGTGAGATGGTAGCACAGGGTGTCCCGCCCAACCCACCTGATCTTCAAAGGGGCCTGCCCTAATATGATCAGGGAGTTATGCTGGTCCTGACACATATGTAAAAGAGGAAATAAGAATGAAATTAGAACATTCTCTAATACCATACACAAAAATAAACTCAAAATGGATTAAAGACCTAAATGTAAGACTAGATACTATAAAACTCTTAGAGGAAATCACAGGGAGAACACTCTCTGACATAAATCACAGCAAGATGTGATAGATCTTTTCTGATCCACCTCCCAGAGTAATGAAAATAAAAACAAAAATAAACAAACGGGACCTAATTAAACTTAAAAGCTTTTGCACAGCAAAGGCACCCATAAACAAAATGAAAAGAAAACCCACAGAATGGGAGAAAATATTTGCAAACGAAGTGACCAACAAGGGATTAATCTCCAAAATATACAAACAGCTCATGCAGCTCAATATCAAAAAAACAAACAACCCAATCAAAAACTGGGTGGAAGATCTAAATAAACATTTCTCCAAAGAGGACATAGAGATGGCCAAGAGGCACATGAGAAGATGCTCAACATCGCTAATTATTAGAGAAATGCAAATCAAAACTATAATGAGGTATCACCTCACACCAGTCAGAATGGCCATCATTAAAAAATCTACAAACAATAAATGCTGTAGAGGGTGTGGAGAAAAGGGAACCCTCCTATACTGTTGGTAGGAATGTAAATTTGTACAGCCACTATGGAGAACAGTATGGAGGTTCCTTTAAAAACTAAAAATAGAGCTACCATATGATCCAGCAATCCCACTCCTGGGCATATACCCAGAGGAAACCATAATTCGAAAAGATACATGTACCCCGATGTTCATTGCAGCACTATTTACAATAGCCAGGACATAGAAGCAACCTAAAGGTCCACCGACAGAGGAATGGATAAAGAAGGTGTGGTATATATATACAATAAAATATTAGTCAGCCATAAAAAAGAATGAAATAATGCCATTTGCAGTGACATGGACTGACCTAGAGATTGTCATACTGAGTGAAGTAAGTCAGACAGAGAAAGACAAAGACCATATGATATTGCTTATATGTGGAATCTTAAAAAATGGTACAAATGAACCTATTTACAAAACAGAAATAGAGTCAGAGATGTAGAAAACAAAGTTGTGGTTACCAAGGGGGAAGGGGGGGTATAAATTTCAAGATTGGGATTGACATATACACACTATTATATATAAAATAGATAACTAATAATAACTTACTGTATAGCACAGGGAATTCTACTCAGTACTCTGTAATGACCTATATGGGAATAGAATCTAAAAAAGAGTGGATATATGTATATGTGTAACTAGTTCACTTTGCTGTACAGCAGAAACCAATACAATATTGTAAATCAACTACACTCTAATAAAAATTAATTTTAAAAAGCTGAACCAAAAAACAAATAAAAGAGGAAATCAATGATTATTTTTGTTATATTCAAATCATGCTTGAAAAATATTTTCTAAAAGTACAGCAAAATAATTCAATATAAATTTTCATATACCAGAATTAATTGAATATGTGGGGAATCATGCACTTTCACAGGGAACAAATTGGTACAACCTTTTGGGAGCCATTTGTAAGAATCCATCAAATTGTAAAATGCATGTCACCTTTGAACTATTGATTCTACTGCTAGCAAATTCTCTATTAAAAAATATTCCCACAAAATCATGTAAAAGAGTGCTGAATGTAGCATTGTTTCTTAAACCCAAGCTAAAGCAAAGAAAAATCATCAAGTGTTCCTGACTAGGGAACTGAATGATACATTATGCTAATTATGGTAGCGCTATATAATGGAATAGTGTGTAGCCACTGAGAGAAAAGAGCCACATACACTGCCATAGCAGATGACTGGCATATTAACTTAAATAAGGAGAAAACAAAACACACTGTATGGATGTTTCTGTATTTGATTCTTTCTGTCTTTTTGAAACATTATGGAATTATATACTCTCCATGAGGGGCTGGGTACGTGGAGAGGAATCTGGAGGCTATGTACACACACACACATTTATACACAGAAATCTCTCTTAATACTTCCTCAAAGAAAGCAAGCATGTAAACTTCAAAACAGCCATGAAAATATCTGTAACTGAAAACATATCTGAACGTACCTGAAAAAAAAATTCAAAGCATTTGATAACCTCAGGTAACAAAAGACAGTGTGGGTGTTAGATTAACAGGCTACAAAATAAAGGTGTCCCTTATTTGCCAAGCTTAACCAGAGTCAAGGTTAAGAAGCTCAGAGAAAGTCTCAGGAAAAGGAGAAAAGGAGATAAAGAAGAATCAAAGATAAAGGTAGAGATAAAGATAGAAATAAACATGCAGATAGGGAAGAGTTACACAGGAGTTCAGTGAAAATAAATGGAGTGACAAGGAGAAAGGAGAAGAAATGGAATAAAAAGTAAAACAACAGATCAAAGTGATCACATCAAAGAATAAATGGACACAAAGGAGGATTTTTCCTATTGTTTCTATTATCTTAATATAATAATAACAACAATAATAATCATTGACTAATACTAAAGCACTTTGAGGAGACACACAATACTCAGTGTTGTTCAATTTAGGGGAAAACACACTTCAACAATGCAACAATTATGAAAACAACTGTAGAAAGCATCATGTGGTTAAACCATACTTAAATGGCTGGCATTCACAATGGTGACCCCAAGTTGCCTAAATGTGGCATCAACACAGTGTATGAGGTAAAAATAATTATTTTTACTAAGACAGAGAAACTGGGACTGCATTTTTTAAACAATAATTACAACTGAAAACTGCTAGATTTGGGGATCCATTAAAGGATTTGTGAAAATCTGTCTAAAACAGACCCTTGATGGGTAAAGATTATGATAGCTGTGTGTGTATCACTTATTCTCTCTCTCTCTCTCTCTCTCTCTCACACACACACACACACACACACACATACACACACACACTACATGCAGCTCCAACTGGGAACACAGAGGAGGAACCCTTGGTTTCTGAGAAATCAAGCGTGGATTCCTCATTCCCTTTCAAAATCCTTTCATTATATCTGGTAGATTTGGCCTAGACACACAACCATTGACTTATGGCACTGTGACTACTGAAGATATCTTATCTAATATCTAGTTTTCAAGATCCAATGTACAGATTCTCTACATTGGAACATGAGGTCAGCATTCCACCCACAGAGATCCCTGTTGTGAAATCTATTCTGTTGCAGTTTTGAAGGTCTGGGATATCGAATACCACTTTTCAAGTTTTTATCAAAACAAAACAAAACAAAACACACAAAAATACCCCAGCTGTCAGAGAATTAGCCTGTTCTTAGATTGTTCAAATTCCTATATGTAACATTTCAGTTATTTCAGTTAGTAGGTAGGGAGGCTGTATTGTTTCTATTCATAAGCTTGATTCTCTTTCAGCAGATTGAAATTGGCTTGAAAATTGAACAATTTTCTATGTGAAATTTTTAGAAAATTACACTCATCACAAAAACTAAATACAAATGGGTAATGAGATTTAGAGTAGTATAATTTAATCTATTTGTTTTACACCAGTTAGCACAGTTTATTTGTAGAAAGCTGTGGCTGACTTCCAGAGAATCCCCATGGATCAACACTGAAGTTCTCAACCTTTGCCTCAAGCCCAGACTACCACTATCACAAGCTTGTTTATTACAAAGGCACACACAAAAAAAACCAAGAAACCATAAACTTACTTAGCACGCTTCCACTCCCTTTTTCCCCCTTCTGGCCTTTTTGTCCAGAATTTCCTTTAAAAAAATAAAAATAAATAAAAGGAAAAAAACTTTTTTTAATTTAGGCAATTCACAGTGCTTGAAATGGAGACAGCAACACAAGGTCATCTAGAATAACAGCGTATAACAACCTACAGATTTTCAGACATAATAATGTTGTTGTTGATGATGATGATGAGAATAATAGCTATCATTTTAGAAACCCTCTTATGAACTTAGCATTTTATGAGTAGGTCCTTTACATACATTATCTCAGATTACTTACCAGGACATTAAATGTTCCATTTTCCTAAAGCAGGCAAAACTGAGGTGTAAGCAGTTTGTTTGGGATTATTCACGGTCCTTTTTCTCCTCCTTCTTTGTGTCTTCCTCCCTCTCCCAGAAAGCCTGGTATCCTCCATCTCATCCCAAACCTTGTTTTTCTGTTCCCATTACAATTTGTCTGTCTTGTTTTCTATTTCTTTTATGTGAAGCCTAGCAAAGATGGAGCTGTGAATGAATTTCTGGGAGTGGTGAGATCCCAATTACCTCAGTCTTGGGGGAAGCTGGGAAGGTCTGAGGGGTGTCTAAACCTCTAGATAGTTACTTTTGGCTTCGAGAAACCTCATTCACATACTTTAGAGGTGTGCTACAGACCTTATATGGAGACATTGTTAAGACCCTGCTCTTTGCTAATGGGTTGCTATTTCACCTAAGGTTCCTAAAGCTATATCCAGAGGTTAAGCCCTTAGTACCAACAAGAGAATTCAACGATGACAATTGCATCTCACTAGAGGGGTGCTGTTCTCACATATCGATTCTTCTTCCAAGAGTCGTCAGATATGTCTTGTAAGTAATCACCTTCCTGGCATAAATGCAGGACTGACCATAGAGCCATCTATCTCTAAGTCAAAATCTTCATTAATGGTCTTGATTTCCTCCAGAAAAATCAAGGACTGTTCTCTTTTCATCCAAGAGCTCAAAGGGCATAGTTCAAAGATCATGAGCTTTGGAATAATAACAATAATTTTAAATTCTCTTGTGTTGAATTATTTTACTCTGCCACTTATTAGGTATGTGGCTCAGAACAAGTCTTTAAACCTTTCTGAGCTGAAGTTTATTCTTCTTTCAAATGAAAAAATAGTACCCTCCATTGCAAACTTGCCTTGAAAATTAGCAATGTTTATAAAGGGCCTTACTCTTAAGAGATGCATGTAAGAGATGGTAGCTCTTATTTGTTTTACATCACCTAGCTAATTTTATTTTCAGTGAATGAGAGGATTTTTTCATTTCATTTCACTTTTTTATGGCACAATTATTTTACATTTTATTTTGCAGTTTTAATCATTATTTTGTTGTTTTTTTTGGTCTGTTTCTCTAGCTTACTTTGCCTCATCCATGCTTTGTTTTCGAACACTTGTCCTTATTCACCTCTTAGAGAAGACTTTTTTGATCTCCAATTTACCAGATTAAAAAAAATACAAAATAACGTGTGATGAGTAACATGAAAATTGAGATTTAGCACTTAAAAATTGAAGCTATTTCCAATTAAAATTTTATTTTGAAATGCCAACCATTCCTTATCATGGTATAATAGTCTCTAATTGCTTTGCATATATGATTACACTGTACATCATTAAATTCATTTTTTAATTGTGATTCAGTCATTTCAGGTAATATTAAATTGACAAGAATCATTAATTTAGCACAAAGTACCTAAAACCTTTTCTATTTTTTTTTTTGACGGTAGGCTTTTATAAGATATAATAACAAAGTTTTAGATTTCCTCAAGAGGAAAAATCTAAGATATTAAACAAAAATTGGGGGAGGGGGGTTAAAATGGTGTAACTGATCAGTTCTAATTCTTTTCAGAGAAGATAATATAATAAACAAGCTTAATTTTATCATTCTAGCGTTATTTTCAGAATTAGAAAATAATTGTAAAATTACTCTGGGAAGTCTTTTCATGTTGTAGTTTGTCTTGGGTATTTTATTTTTTAAATAAATTTATTTATTTATTTTTTGGCTGAGTTGGGTCTTTGTTGCTGCGTGCGGGCTTCCTCTAGTTGCGGCGAGCGGGGTATACTCTTCGTTGCGGTGCGTGGGCTTCTCATTGTGGTGGCTTCTCTTGTTGTGGTGCATGGGCTCTAGGCATGTGGGCTTCAATAGTTGTGGCACGTGGGCTCCGTAGTTGTGGCTCTCGGGCTCTAGAGTACAGGCTCAGTAGTTGTGGCGCACGGGCTTAGTTGCTCCACAGCATGTGGGATCTTCCGGGACCAGGGCTCAAACCCGTGTCCCCTGCATTGGCAGGCGGATTCTTAACCACTGCGCCACCAGGGAAGTCCCTGTCTTAGATATTTTAACGAAACCTTGATCTCTGTTCAAGCCAGAGAGTTGAACAAATGACCCACTTTTCTTCTTATAAATAAAAAAAAAATGTTTTATGTCATTTTAGCATGATTCAGAGATTTCCTCACATACGACACTTGGAAATCTTTTCTCACACTTGAACACATTAAAAACATCCTTTCTAGAGAACAGGGATTCCTCCCTCCTTTATAATGACATCTTAGGCTAAAAACGAGCCCAAGGGCTTTGTCAAAACCTGGAGTTAACCACCTCCTGTCAGATATGTCACTCTTCTGTCAAAAATAAAGAACTAATATTTCTGAAAGCCACTGAAAAGTAAGAAGTAGATGGTATGTAATATACCGCCACTCTAACTTTAAATATCAATATAAGAGGAGGTATTTTCAATAGCATCATTGGGACTTCAAGCATTTTCAGAGCCCCTGCCATGAGCTAGGCACTGGGTTCCTCATTTTCACACACAGGCACACTTAGCCCAGCCCAGCTCTTTTCACCTACTTCAATTCAGATATGACATCTTCCCTCCTCTGCCTAATGCTTCTATTTCCTGAATTCTTCACCTTCAACCTTCTTCTTAACCTTCCACAATCTTTTTAACCCTTCTTTCCTCTGTATCTTCAACAACTTCTCTATTTTACCTTGCTGTCAGCATTTAAATAGTATTCAAATTCACTTTCAAAGAAAAAACAAAATCCAATGAAAAAACCGATCTCTTCCTCCCCCTCTGAAAAGCCAGACTGCTCTACCCCGCTGTCTACCAGCCTCATCACCAGGCACCCCTGGGCATTCCCCAATCTGGCTTCCACCCCACTCCACCCAGCCCCACCAAAACTGCTCTCAATAAAGGCAACATCCTCACAGCAACAAATGGAAAAAGCTTTCTGTTGACTGCATCTCACTTGACCAACTTTTGAAACTTCTTTGGTTTTTTTTCACACCACCTTCTCTGGGTTTTCTTCCTCACTCCGGCTGCTTTGCTCTTTCTGCTCAGTCTGTATGTCTGGAACCACTCAAGGCTTTATCCTAGGCCCTTTCTCTTCTCACTGTTGCCTACCCATAAAATATTACTAAAATCAATGATTATTAAAATTCATTGACTTCAGTGAACATTTATATAAGCATAGCTACAACTTTGTCTTTCTACCTCTGGCTTCCCCTCTGAGTTCCAAACCCATATATTCGACTATAAATATCTCCATGAATGGCACAGAGTGTTCAATAGCTGTTTGTCAAATAAATAAAGGAATTCATTGTGGTCTATAATTTTAGACATTCCTAAGAAAGACCGTAACTCACCCTTAGAATCAGACTTTGAATGGACTCCAAGAGTCTAACTGGAGAGAAGCACATTATTTACATTGCTGGAAAACCTAGTTCATTTAATGAGGTTCTATTCAGGGTACTCTAGGGATTTTGAAGATATGTAAGGTTACACTTCAATTAAATCCTCTGAGCTCTCTGCAGTAAATCTGTCCGATGGTAAATGCTCTATAGATCTGCCATGGATCAAGAAGAAAGTCTTCCCTTTCTCTTCTTATATTTGTATACTTTATCAGTTAAGGACTGTGTCTTATTTACTTCTCATTTCCCTGTACCAAGCATCGTCCCTTGTATATATATATTGAGTACTTAATACATGTGGAAGGAAGAGGGCAGGGTGGGGAAGAAAAGGAGAGCAGGAGAGAAAACAGAAAATAAATAGGGCTGCTCTTTCTTAATCTTTTTGCTTTGAAATCACTTTGCTTTGATATCACTCAGATAGTCCAGGCTGTGTCATTAATTAGAAAATGACAATTAGTAGATTTTATTTCTAATTTTATTACCCGCTTTGGACTCTTGTAGAGGAAGAATGCATTCACCGTTTTAATTTGCAGTATAACTAAACTAGTACCAGGCACTGCTGCTCATATTTCTACCAAATTTGAGTCTTTTAATAAGGAAGTAATATCCGGAGAATATCTTTTGTCAAGGGATTTATTACCTCTACCTCTGCTTTTATTTTTACAGTCTCTCTTTCTCCAGTTTTCTTCACCTGAAGATGTGGTTCTCAAAGTGTGGTCCCTGATCAGCATCATCACTGTCACCAGGAAACTTGTGAGGAGTAAACATTCCCCAGGGAGCCCAATCCCTAAACTATTGTATCAGAAAGTCCTCTGGAGGTGGAGCCCAGTAAGCTGTTTTAACAGGCCCTACAGGTAATTCTAATGTCTGCTCAAGTTTGAGAAACACAGATGTAAAGAAATTCTGTGCATCTTTAGGCCAGCTCTAACACGACTTTCTTTGTAACATCTTGTCTTGCTGTACAGAGTTAATCACTCTACTTTCTACTTCCACAGCTTCCATTACTTTTGTCCCACTTCACAAATGTTTTATTACCTACCACTTGGTAATACAGCTAATTGGTTCTGCATTTTTCTGTCCCCTGCTCTCTTCTAAAATTTCTGTGTACAGTTCACAATTCAAGCTTAGGCTAGCGGCATAAGGAGTAGAAATAATATCATCATGTATGTAAATTGTAAAGGGCCCGAACATGGTGATTATTAAGTACTAATATACAGTAGCAGGCAGGTTATCTTGTAAAGGATAGGATTTCAGGTCTGCCTGTATTTTGCTAACTGTAACTTAACAGGGTTTGGTGGTTTTGGTTAAAGGGGTGTTAATACTTTGCTTGTTTGTTTTTCTCTACCAGTCTTTCCACTCTCTTTATTCTAAGATAGACACCATTCTTCATGGTGATTTATAGTGGTGTGGAGTTGACAGATCCTCTGTTGTGATTTTATATGGAACTGTTTTCCTTCTGGACATAGAAACTTTCCTCAGGTGGACAGAAATCAGTTTCAGAATGTTTCAGATCAGAAAATAAACTGCATGTGAGTGCTGCTTTTCATACTATGATGACCATTGTTTTTGTTATCTAAGAAGTTGAAAGGAATATCTATGATCTGGTGTTTATTTTACATATTCTGTGAAGAAAATATGCATTATCATAATACCTGGCCTCCCGGTCTTCCCCGCTGATCCTGGGAATCCTCGACTTCCAGGAAAACCAATGGATCCTCGATCACCTTTAAGACCTGGAGGACCTACATGGTAAATGAAGAAAAAAAAAACAAACCCAAAACAGTGGTAATAATTCATTTTGCATAAAGATTTGAGAGAATAATGAAACAATCTAATTTCACTAATGGATATGAAGGAGGTGAATCTCCAAATGGAGGAACAATGTCTTTCCTAAACTTTCATGTGTAAAAATTGATAGATAACAATAACAGTAAGTAGAAACATTAGTGCATTTAGTACACTGTAGATATTCAATATGTAACAGATTGTCACTACAAATAAAAACACACAAGAAAAAAAAATCTTAGCGTTTTAACTGGAAGCCTTATATAGTCTAATCAGGAATCTTCAAATGGCAGAATTTTGCTATAGCTGAAATGATAACTTTGAAATGTAAGCTAAAAATTGGACTTTTAAGATTTGTCCCAGAAAAATTACAAGTCAAGCAATGAGAAGTATCAAAGAATATTTATTAAAAGAATACTGAGGCCCTAGTGCAGGAATATATTACTCTATCTCTCATGCTTTTGTTTTTACATACTCCATTGTAATCCCAAACAATAATGTAGCCATATGTATGTGTGTGTGTGTGTGTGTCTGTGTGTGTGTGTGTACCAGGCACAGGGAAAGTATTCAGTAAACATTTTTTTAAAGTAAAAGGTCATAGGCAATTCTCCTTGGCATGCTTCCAAGGAAATGGCATGCTGAAATGAATTTCTATTATATTATTTTGAGATAAAGCACAGTTTAACACAATATCCACCCCAGTACATGAGTAACAATTGTAATATATTTATTGTACTGATAATTTAATACTACTAAGCACGTACATCTTCTCAGATTTTCATATCATGGTTTCGAGCCAAGCTGAGTTTAGTGGGCTCAATTGCATGTATAGGTATTTTTTGTTTGTTTGTTTTTGTTTTGTTTTGTTGGTACAGGGTTTCTTTTGTCTTTAAACACTCCCATTGTAATATTTATTTATTTGTTTGTTTGGCTGCACCAGGTCTTAGTTGCAGCACATGGGATCTTTTAGTTGTGGCATGTGGGATCTTTAGTTGAGGCACGCGAACTCTTGGTTGCAGCATGTGGGATCTAGTTCCATGACCAGTGATCAAACCTGGGCCCCCTGCATTGGGAGCACGGAGTCTTAGCCACTGGACCACCAGGGAAGTCCCTATAGGTGGGATTTTAGTAAGCCTGCTTAAATCAGGAAGTAGAATTATCAAGACAGTCCATCATATACTTTTAACTTCCTGATTCCCTACCAAACATGGGGCAAATAGGCCATCTGGCAAAGAACAAAACAGATTGCAGCAATCAGGTGGGAAAGACGCCTAGTAACTTGAATATTTTTGCTGCAGTGCAACTCAAATGGCAACCTAAAAATCTAAAAGAGTCAATTTATCACTCCAACAACGAAATCTACCTCTCTTTTTTGAGGGGCCAGATAATGCCTATTTGTGTATATGAGCAATACCAACAGCAGCAGACTAAACCCTCACTTAAAGAATTAAAGCAGCTTTGCAACGGTATCTGTCTAGGGTGGTAACAAAAGCGGAAACTTTTAAATCCCTCTTTCTATTTGATTCCGAAACAGCTACAAAAGATGTTCCCAAGATGAAGCTTTGGAAGGCAAGTTGTAGCCCAGACTGAACTTTTATGGTTGAGTTATAAAGCTTTGATAATTGCAATTTGTAATGGAGGAGTTGACAGACCTTTGACAATAGCCGCTCTGGCAGATAATATAACACTGGTTACTTCCCCTGCTTATGACATTAATGCACCATTGCTAAGATCTGCTGGGTGCCAGTCAAGTAGAAAGACTTTTCTGAACAAAGAATCTTACCTGGTATTACTTTCAAAGGCAAACCAACAATTGATATATATATATATATATATATATATATATATATAATTCTAAAAGCTTTTTTTTTTAAGGTAAACTTTATATATTGGCTTTTTAAGCACTATGATGTAAAGGGCTGGCATGTGTCAAATTCATGCTTTTCATTTTTAAAAATTGTTTTTCTGATGTAACCTGGGCTGGTTGATACATTGATCAGAAAGAAGAACAGTTTATATAATCAAAACACAGAAAAATAAGATCAAGTCCCTGGTATTTAGACATTTCTTTGGCAGCACAAACTATTCTAGTTATCATTAGACGGAGCAGTATACTCCCCACCTTCAAAAAGCATGCAGGTATTTGATTTCTAGCCATGAATAACATGATGATCATGTTACTGTTATTATCTTTATTTTTTTGAAAGCAAAGGAAGTTCATGCTCTTTCTCTTTTTCTGTCTTCTATTATTGTCTTTCAGAATATTGCTTTCAAGATTACAGAAGAAAATAATTTGAAAAATTTTGCTCTAAGTAAGATACAGAGAGTGGCTGACAGCAAAGGGAAAAGTCATCTGTATTCTAGTCAATATTTACATTGAGATTGCATAGGTTTAAGCAGATAAATTCCAGTTAAGGACCATATAAGGAGTATAATCCAATTTGCCTTTGATTTACATTAGTTGTTGTTTTTTTTTGTATCTTAAAAACCAGATATATATTCAATGTGAAGATGGTTTTCATATTTTCCTTCACATGTGACCTAAAACTAGGTTGGCCAAATACTGTTTGCAGTCAGTGATACGGACAGCACTCTCTAGACTTATGAACAACCCCACGTTGTTAAAGCACTTAACTTTATTTAAAAATCAAGAGTCACTGCTTACCATTCAGAACATGATGGTGATTAGGCTACAAAAACATTTGATATCCTCTCAACACACACAAACATACACATGCAGACACACACACACACACACACACACACACACACACACGCCACACAGGGAACCAGTCAAATAACTGATTCCCCCTACACACATACACAGATGTACATTACCTAGCCCTGCAGTATATGATGGAGTAGTTACCGTACCTACTGGACCTGGAATGCCTTGTGGACCAACTTCTCCAGTGGGACCTCTATCTCCTTTTTCACCTGGAGGTCCAGGAGGACCTTTAAAAAATAAATGACAATTACTGATCATAGGCTTAAAGCATAGGTAAAATAGATTTGTCATTTGTCAAGACAGTTACGTAGGTAAATCCAAAGCCTTTTATTTGTTGCACAATTACACAGAATGAACGAGACTAACCTTCCCGAATGGAAGCATACCCTACTGCTGAGCAGTGCAATGAGACAACCTAAATGAGACAACCTAATTATGGACTAAATACTTCTGTGTGCCAAGCAGTGTACTAGGTTCTCAGATGCTGGGGGCAGAGAAAGACAGTGAGTCAATGATGGCACAAATCCACATTAGTATTGTGTACCTACTGGGTATGAAACCCAGTGCCCCTAAAACTGAGCTCCCTTGCCAAGTTTATGATTAACCTCTCTATCCAAAATTTTATTCCCCTTCTTGACCTACCCCTGTTCCCCTCAGGACTGAGGAATATCAAAGAAAAGGGGGATTGAAACCAAGCAGGACCCTGCAGGGCCTTCCTGGGTACAAAACCCCTCCAGGTGCCCTGTTTCTTGTTTGCAGAAAAAAGGCTTTAGTTTCCTAGGCCTTACCTGAGCCCCAAAGAGCAGGCACAAGGAGTTAACAATGAGAGAAGTGAGGGGATGCAGAAACAAAGGAGAAGCAGTCAAGCAAGGTAGCTAGAATGATAGTTCGGAGTCCTAGTTCCTCCTCAATGGATATACATAATAATCTGACACATATCTTTGAGTTGATCTGTAGAAACTAAGCCCTTCACCCATGTGGAGGATGGTGACTACATGCTGACCACTAGTATGTAGACCCCACACTGGTTGGAACCAGAAGGTTGATGATTAAGCTTCTGGGAACATCACCCTGTTACCTCACCACCAGGCAGATTTCACTATATTAATTTAGATGCTCTGTGGAAAATGTGTAAGTCAAGTAATGTGTGATACCCTCAAGGGAAACAAAAATCCACACAAGGTAGACAACCAAAAACCCTATCATTGAAAATGATACCCTCGGATATTAGAAAAATGCAGATCAGCAAGAGGAGCAGTGGTTGAAAAGACTTAATTGAGGAGGTAGGATGTGAAGGGGATTTTGAAGAATGGGTAGAATGAGAAGAAAGAGAATGCTGGGTAAGTAGGAAAGATGCGGGGAATGGCAGGAAAGTGAAAATGAGTAAAGGAATAACTTTTCAAGTAAAATATTAGGTAGAATCCCTAGATAGATATAGACATTATAAAATAAGTTGGAGAGGCTGCAGGGAAAATTTTGACTACCTGGCATGGCAATTACCAAGGTGTCCCCCTAGTACTGAGTTTGATCAACACTGATTTAGTCATTTGAATTTTCTGTGCCCGCAAAACAGATATCTAGTGATCACCTCTTTAGAATGATGGCACTGAGTATGTCCCTCTTCTACATGGAGTGCCACAGGACAAGTGTTATTCCTTTCCTTTAAAGCAGAACACTTAGCAATTTCTTTTCAATTCCAAAAGGAAGAAATGAACCTGGACATACCATAGAATAATCAAATAGTGATGTTTTAAAAGAGTCATTTTCAATTTCCGTGGTTCAAGGACAGCAAGGATAACACACAGCTATGTTTAGCATCACCGGTTAGAGAGCACTTGTTTACAAATTTTAATCAGGTGGGGAGATAAGATACTTGAAAAATTCTAAGAAGGGACTCCATAAATAATGATAATCTTATGAGTAAATATATTCTGTCCATTTTCTTTGCTTCTTTTGAAATCCTTGTCCCTTGCCTCTCTCCATTTTTCTGATCTGCTTCTGATTTTTCAAGGTCCAACTTGGGTTTTAGCACCTTCCTTCCCTGGTGACTTAATTTTCCAGATATCATTGCTCTTCTCAACGGCACATCATTCACTTCCCTTCATACACACCATTGGGCTGTAAGGTTTTATTGCATTTTCATTACAATAGTAACTATATATTATAGGAAATATAAAAGCCTAGAAAAAATGAGGAAAATATAATACATAATTCTATCATCTTAAGAGAATAATCACTAACATTTATTTTCTGTTTTTGTTGTATATTTTTTGTTTTTTGTTTTTTACATAATCATCATGCAAACTGCATACTACTGGGCGTTAAGTAGTTGTAGTAACAACTAGCAAATTCTCCTAAGCTATAGCTTAATGTTGGAAACATATATTAAGGTGTCCACAAGAGATGTCATGGTTCTACATCAATGGGAATCTACGCATCTTCTCTTCCTGCAGAATGTAGTTTCTCCCAACAAAGGGGTTTTAATTCCCACAACCGTGAACACAGCTGCAGTTCATTCATCTCTGCACAGTGACGATGGAGGGGGCAAGCAGGACAGAAAGACTCAATTTGCAGCTTGAATTTTGCTGAGCAAATTAGAGGGAAGCAAATCCACAGTACTCCAGGATGGCATTTTGAAAAGAAATTGCACACGAAAAGACTGTGATTCAGTGATTAGGGCTCTAAAGCAAGACAGACATTCCAGGAAAAACTAGAAGGTGTGAGACAAGAAACAAGGGACACAGATTAGCTCTGGGCTCTCAGCCTCTGAGATCAAGAGTTTTCACCATTTCTTTAATAAGTAAGAAATGGAACTCACTATCTTTTCAATTATTTTGCATGTAACTATGTATAGTAACTGTACACAGCTCAAATGCTGGAGCATTAACTCAATCATAACAAATACATCTATGCTATTTTATAAAATTCGGAGTTAAAGATCCCTCTTTGTCTATTTCTATATAAAAATGCTGATACCAGGTACTTGAATCCCAGAGTAAGAAAATGAGGTAAAGTCTTTCCTTCAAGAGTTCTAACTGAGTGTGTTGGATGTTACATTTTTATTGTTATCTTAGTCTTCATGTAACATTAATCTCACCCATTACATTCTGTTTAAATTCTATAATTTGTTATGTGTCTTCTACTGCCTAGAACAAAATGTGGAAAGTATCTCAATGGTTTAAGTGTCTTTTCGATATTTTGGAGGGATGGAAGTACACAGATCATATACTACTTTCTCTTAGCTTCTTATGTAGAACTTTCGAGAACATTATCAACATAATGCTCTCATCTACCTTCCAAAACTGGTCTCTCCAATCCTGCTGTTGCTCACATCCTTATCATACTGCAGTTGGACTAATCTAGAGGGTTTTTTATTAAAATCTGGTGTGAATATATTTTGTCTATTCCACCCTCATTCATTCATTTACTTCAGTTTAAAAACAAATGTCTGCATCAACTGTAAAGAAATGTAGCCATTTATTCTGCCACGTTATGGAAAAAAAGAATGAAGAACTTTAAGACTGAGACTTCGAGTCTATTGTAGTCACCTTCTTGGTTCTGAGTTACTATTTAACCTTTCAAAATTCTGTCCCATAATCACATCAACAACCACCTCTGTGCCTCAATAATGTACACAATGCTTCCTGGCAGCTCTCTTGCTAACATATGTCAAAGGACACTAGATTAATATTGTTCGAAACATCTGATCTGCCCTAGATCAAGAAGCCATAAGAATTCCACTATTTTTCATCATATTTAGTACCATCTAACTGCAAAGTTAGAGGGATAATTCATAAATGCTATAGCACTAATTTGCCATGAACAATTCCCCCTATAAAACACACCACCAAATCCGCTATTAGCAGTCTCCCTATGATTTTTTTTTTAAGGAAAACTAAGATATCTACTTAGCCACAGAGATGTACTGATTTAAAATACTCAGTAATTAAAAAATATCATAGATCAAAATTACCCAATTTACTGGGAAAGAAAACCCAGGAACATCACATCATTTAAAATCCTCAGATGATAACATAGCGCTAATAATATCTGCTAAAATTTCCAGAGCTATGCTTCTCCATGTCGTGTTCATTATGATCATAAATTTCCTACTTTGTTCTCAATCTTGCCTCACATGTAGATCACCATAAAAATATGCCAAGTCTTCTAGGCTGCTGCTATTTAAACCTCTTTATTTTTTTCTTTTTTCTTCCAGTTTTCACGCTCACTGACTTAGAGATGTTTAATCTGGACGAAGCCGTAAAGCTTGCTTAGACAAACATAATTATAGAGGTCTGAGAGAGTGAATTCCCAAGGTCTTAAAGCCAGTTGGGTAAAATCAGAACTAGAATACTTCTTTCCTGATGTTCTAGGCTATACTTTTCCAAAATCAATTGATTTCATTTTGGGCATCTGTTCTTTCATTACTCCTGAGATGAATTTTTCTTTTACATAGTGGTTAAAGACACAATTCATTTCTTAAATCCCAATAATTAATTGCACAAATCTCCAAATTCAAATTCTATCAATCACTTCTCCTTCTTCATCATGACAATTGATCAATTGATACATTTTTTTCTCTTTTTGGTGCTTTTAGTTTCTGGAAAAAAACTATGCTTAAAATTTTTCCACATAACCACTGCTTTCAGCAATGAGTCATATTTTATTTCTCTTAATTTCTCTTAACTTCCTTCCTCAAATGTTTAACAACTTTGTCTTTTTAAATCATGTTATCCCCCACTCCCCACCAAATTCTGCTTCACCATTTCAACAATGAAATTTCATTTAGTCCTTTAGACTTTAATTGCTATAATTACTTGAGAAATATATTAAAATATCTTTACCTCTTTAATCTTCATAAATATTTAGTAATTGCTAACATAAAAGAGGAGGGACACAAAGTAATGGCACTGATCCTATAACCGACATTAGATAAAGCACTCATTAATTAATACAATGTCTCTCTTGGGTTATAGTTTAATAAATATTTATTAAAAATTATGACTAGATGCTGTAGAGGATATAAAAAATAGCCCGTAATTTTAATGAACTTACTGTTTCCAGTAAGAGACAACATTTCGATAGAAGACAGTATGAGATATTTTTAGATATGACAATCATATTAGGAATTCTCTTGTGAAAGAATACTTAATGTTCAAAAGTAAGCAAGATATAAATGTCAGCAAGAGTATTACTATGGTGGGACCAGAGAAAGCTTCATGGAAGAGGTTGCATGTATGTCATCTATGGACATTAATGATAGATAAGATATTTTCAGATACAAATAGAAGAGGAAAGATATTCTTTCAAGTGAAGGAAAAGCCACGAGGCAGGATGCAAAAAGTATTGGGCATGTCAGAATCACAGTAAAATCAATTGAAATATTTGGTGTCAAAAAGGGAAAAGACAGGGAATGAGGCATTCAAAAGTAGTTAAGAGAAGCACTATAGAAGAACTTGAGCGCTGCAGAGAAAAGCGTATGTGTAATCAGGGGGTGATAGAGAGTCTCTTTGCAATCTAGGGTGTCCCTCTAGGAAGGCTGCATTCTGACAGGAGTGTAGAAAGGATTGCAGTCTGAAAGACTGGGCAGGAAATGATTGTGAGACTATTTCAATAGTCTGGCAGAGTAATGATAAGAATAGTTTACACAGAATATAAAGGAGTGACAAGGGGTTAGAGAATGTGGAACATAAGAAGTAATGGTATTCTGGGAGAAAATAACAACAACAATTAAAGTTTCTACCTTGGAAATCTGGAAGAATGACATTGCTATTACAAAGTGTAACTTCATAAAAGGGAAGTGTTACTTTCACTTATTCCTTTAAGGCCTATACATTTGCTCACCCACCATATACCAGGCACTCTAACAGGTGCTGTGTATGGAGAGGTAGACAAGAGAGACAAGACCCAACCTCATGGAACTCGCATTTTATTCGAGAAGATCTGTGATAAACAAATAAGCAAATGTATATATGAAACAGTATCATGTAGTTTTAAATACTATGAGGAAGTTAAAGCACACCATGATATACAGAGATAATAAGAATGGGGAGGGAGAAATTATCACTAAAAAGGTAACTTTGAGTGGATCTAAGGAGAACGGAAAGCTAAGAGAACATTTAAAGGGAGGGAGAGCTGTCTAGTGCACATTATGACAGCAAGAAGTGAAACCAGCACTTCCTCCTTGTTAACTTATACTGTTCAATGGCACTTTCATTCTTCCAGCTCTTCCAAGCTAGACAGAGGGAAAAGTAGAAAAGAGGGCAGATAAGTAGATGGGTGCCAGATCAGGTAGGAGTTCAGATTTTATTCCAAGTTCAATGGGAAGATATTGGAGGGTTTTAAGAGATAAAAGATCTAATCATATGTTATTATTATTATTTCAATAACACTCTTTTGCTCTCTGTAGAATGGATTAAGAGTAGAATCAGGGAGAACAATTGGGAAGCTGATGTAGTACACCAGGCTGTAATATAGTTGCTTGAATTAGAGTCATAGCAGAGGAGACAGTGAGAAGGAGTTTTATCATATGGAAGAAGAGTTAACAGGACTCATATATGGATTGGATACAGGAAGTGAGAGAAAGAGAGAAATCAAAGCTTGCTTCCAAGATCTTGGAGTGAGTTACTAGTTGGACAATGACTCAACTGACAGATAAGACTAGGAAACCAACAGATTTGAGGGGTGGATGAGGGTAGGTGCTCTCAAGAACTAAGGGCTTGGTGCAGGTTCAATCCCTGGTCAGGGAACTAAGATCCCACATGCCGTGTGGCATGGCCAAAAAAAAAAAAAAAAAAAAAAAAAGAGAGAGAGAGAGAGAAACAGAACTATGGGTTTGGGTGTGGATTTGTAAAGTTGGGGATATTTAATTGAAATCCCAAGTGGAATGTCCAATTGTTAGAGTGAAAGCTGATTAATTCAATTTTTCTTTATCATTGGTTTCAATGTAATACTTAAAGAAAACATGCAGTAGAGGCTTCCCTGGTGGTGCAGTGGTTAAGAATCCGACTGCCAATGCAGGGGACAAGGGTTCAAGCCCTGGTCCGGGAAGATCCCACATGCCGCACTGCAACTAAGCCCGTGCGCCACAACTACTGAGCCTGCCCTCTAGAGCCTGCAAGCCACAACTACTGAGCCCGTGTGCCACAACTACTGAAGCCCGCACGCCTAGAGCCTGTGCTCCACAACAAGAGAAGCCAATGCAATGAGAAGGCCATGCACCGCAAAGAAGAGTAGTCCCGCTAGCCGCAACTAGAGAAAGCCTGCACGCAGCAGCAAAGACCCAACTGAAAGAAAGAAAGAAAGAAAGAAAGAGAGAGAGAAAGAGAAAGAAAGAAAGAAGGAAAGACAGAAAGAAAGAGAAAAAGAGAAAGAAAGAAAGAAATTTATAAAAAAAAGAATACATGCAATATATTCTATACCAGTTAGCTATAAACATAATAATAAATATACCTGCAACATTACAACCCAACAAACAGCTATCTATTTAGCCGCTTTCCCATCTCGCTCATCTTCTTCCTTTTCAAAAACAATCATTAACCTGAATTTTGTGTTTCTCATTTTCTTACATTTTAAAAACAACCATTCTCATTAAATGTGTATGTGTAAATATACATTATTTACTTTTACTAAATCATGAGCATTAGAAACAAAAATCGTACTGTAAATAGTCTCTGGGACTTATTTTTTTAATTTTTCTTTTCTTGTAAAAATTTGGATATTAAGAGTTCTTAATTATCCTAAACTAGTGCTATGTAAGATGAAATCACATGGGTTTCTGTTTCTCTTGTTCTAATAAGAATTAACAATTGAAAGTGTAAAGTAGAGCTTAACAGACATGGTAGCTAGAATAAGAAGATCCAACATGAATTTAACTAGTGTTACAGAGGAAAGGATAGAGAGGATTGTGAAGAGGCAATATTCAAAGAGACTGAAGCTGATAATGTTCCCAAATTTATGATAGACTTAATCCACAAATATAAGTGGATTTAGGAAGAAAATGAAGTAAAACAAATGCCACATGGAAAAACTGTCAATATAAAAAACACAGACTAGTGAAATTGTAGGTATTAAAGACAAAGATAATGGCAAGCAATGTGGTCATAATCATTTTAAAAGCAATAAGAAAGGCCATAAACCAGAAGAAAATACGAATAAAAATAATAACTGTTACCCTAAGAAATATGTATGTGGTAAAACAATTCTAAAGATCAAGGACAAAATAATGAAATCAAAACATCTCACCACCAATGGACTTTCACTAAACAAATCTCCAAATAATACTTCAGGAAGAAAAAAATGATCCCAGAAGAGATGTCACAGATACATTTAGGAGGAGGAAAAACTGGCAAACTCATGGGCTAATCTATATAAATATTGTCTGTATCATGTAAGAAAAACAATCTTGACTTAATTCTTGGTTTAAAAAATACATAAAATAGAAATGAGCTATACTCAAAGACAGCAGGAAACCAGGGAAGAGGGTCATCAGAGCGTTTTAAGTTCCTTGTATATTTGAGGATGAAGGTGAAGATACTGATCAACTTGTGACTTTAAGATAAACTTTAAGGATGACTATCAGCAAAATAAAAATAAATATAAGGTTTCCAAAATCTTTTTGGTGCCCTTGATAGAGAGAAAAGTTTAATGAGAAAAATTTCAAATAATCCTAAAGTTGACATGGAAGGAAAGCAAAAGGAACATGGGACTGGACAGAAATGGAGCATAAAATGACAGTAGAAATAAATATGGTGAAAAGAGATGGCCAGATTGCATAGTAAATTTTAAGAACTATTCTTTACAAGAGACAAGCCTAATACAAAGGATAACAAAGGTTGAAAGTAAAATATGAAAAAAAAGTTAAAATGTAAATAATGACTAAAACCTAGTATAGAAATATATATGATATATATACTAATTTAGAAGTCAGTAAGATTCAATTCACCTTGTTTTACTCACAGGAGCTAGAGAAGAAATCGACAAACTCATTGTTTTTTTGGAGAATTCAAAAGACCTTTCTAATTAATAATACAATTGATCAGGTAAGAAGAAAAAATCTGTAAGTTTATAAAAATAGAATTAACAAGCTTGATTTACAGACAGGTAGAGAACTTTGTGCCTCACAGAAAACTTGTATTTGTACATATGAGAAATTCTGAACAATAATTCATTAAACCGTAAGAGCAATTTCATTTGTTTTTTGCTTTTTTTAAAATCACCATTTAAAGGATACCAAGATACTGTCATTTTAACATGTCTTGATATGATCTCAAGGCTCCTTCCTCTGGATCTTTGTGGTAAAATTTGTAGTAAACTATTTTAAAACCAGAGAATTTCCAATATCAAATTTCTGCATATATCAGTGCATTTTAGTACATCATCATCTGGAGAATGAGAGGATATTTTACCTTGAATTAAAGTGATATTTTTCAGTGTCTGAGAATGTTCCCAATCCTTCAGCCTGAGATCATTAGTGATGTTACTCAACAGTTTCACTTCTCCTTTTATTTCCTGTTCCAAATGCACTTGTTTTTCTTCCAGAGACTTAATTTCTGCTGACGTATTGTACACACGCTCCTCTAATTTACTCATCTCCTGTGAAACATAAGCAAACATCCGCAATTTTTGTTACACACATAATTATCAAATATATAAGTTTAAGAAGCTCTACAAGTCAGGTTTTTAAAAAATGTAAAATATTACAGTAATATTATGGAATAAGAATATAGAAATTAGAGAACAATTTTAAAATAGTAACTCTTTGGTTTTGAAGCATTCCTCTTTTAACTGAATGGCTGAATTTTCACACCCTCTGCCAGAAAAAAATTGGTTAAATATATATCTAAGGTATGCTTCTATTCCCAAATATATACATGCCAAAATGCTAAAAATAAAATTAAAAACTTGTCATATGTTTTTTAATTTATCTGAAGTGAAATTCTTTACACTGTACTTAATTACAGTTCCTTAAATTAAATAGATTTGTATATTAAACTGTTTTATAGCAATAACGAAGTTTAATGTCATAATTCTCAGTGGTAATGAACATTAAGGATAGCTTTTCAGATTCAATAAAATCTCAACTAGCATTAACAATACCCTATGTTCAGCTTTTTTATTGCCTCTGCATTGAGATTTCATTATTATTTTACGGTTTCAAATGCATATATATTTTGTGCGCATTTACATACATGCGTGCAGATCTGGAGACTGAGCAAGACAGATTGTACTACATTCTGGATTATGCTTTTATTTTTCACTCAATAATATAAGAATATTTACCTATTAAAATACTTAGAGACTGCCTTATTTTCTATAATTTAGTGGAATTGTATGCATTTTTCATAATTTATTTGATATCTATTGATAGAGTTTTGAGCTGCACATAAATAATGCTGAAGTGAACACCATTTTATATATATCTACATATTTATACAAGCACTTCTATAGGACAGCTTCCTGGAAGTGGATCTGATCAAAGGGACTAAATATTAAAATTTTGTTCACTACTGCCACACCACCCTCCAAATATATGGGACCATTTTTTAAATCTTTCTCAGTGTACATGAATGCTTACTTTTGCACTCAAATCCTAGGTATTCATCAATATATTTAACTTTGTAGAGTAAGAGTAAACATAATAAAACCTTGTTTAATTTGCTTTTCAAATTAAGTATCTAGTCATAAAGTTTTTGACAATGTTTTTCTTTATTGCTTTTCCTTTCAAGTCTTTTGCTTGGTTTTCCTTTGGGTGCTGGGCTTTCTCTTTCCAGTGTACCTAAACTTCTCATCTATCCTGGTAATGTTTTCTGTCTCTCTGTTCTTTTATTGCATCCTCTGTTTCCATGGTATGCTGTATACTTTTCTAAGGACTTCTAGGTTTAACTGTTGATAGATTCTCATCTCCCATTTGCACAAAGAAATAAACCAGTGGTTTACTGTTAATTAATCCAGGTATGAAGAGAAAATTTCACCTCCCTTCACTGGACTGGACAAGTTGAAGTGAGAGGATCAAGAGAGTCAAGTAAAACCTTTGGAAAGAAATGAACATGTACCAGATCTGCCTCTACAATAGCAGTGTACTCAAGCAGAGAGACATCCATTTTTACTGCTCCAATGGCTTTCCCCATCCAAAACCTTGTTCTAGATTAGAATTTCTCTACCCTCTACCGCCTCCCTCCCTATTTGGCATTTTCCGTACACTATGGTATAAAGGTGGGATAGTGAACATGGATGTTTGCAGAGTGCAGCAACATGGTAAATATGCTCGATGTCATTTAGGTGGCTGCAAATTGCTCCAGCTTTCAGGTAGTTCCTGATATCCACAGAGCAAAAGTCAGGGGACTAGCTGGTGATTTTGCTACCTAAGCCCTGGGAGCCGCCGATGTTTTTCATACCTAAAGCTGCGGCTGCCTTTTTTTTCCTCCTTTGAAAACTGCATGTGGTGCTCACACTAACCATATTTCACTTGAAATAAGTTTTATTAGGAAGAGAGAAAATGCATTTGATATATTTTTTAAAGTGCTATACAGCACCTACACACACCGTCCACGGTCTATCACCAGTGGCACTGCTAGAAACAGGCATTTATTTTTGCATTCTTACAGTCCTTTGTACGTACAATGGAGAGGATAAATCCCACGTCTCTCTTTGATTTTGTGTCAGTGTTCTCTTTTCTTTCAAATTAATGCTTGGTCTGTCCTTGCTAAACATTACGCTGCTATTACTTATAAGCCTTTTCCTCAAACAGCATTTACTGATTGAGGCATTCATTTAATTTACTTATTCCTGCATTGGACTAAAGATTCAAAGATGAATACAGTTGTTTTAAGCGATGAGAATGAGATTCCAAATATTGTTTTCAGTGAGTAAGCACACGCGCACACACACTAGCACTGACCTAGATTCCAAATCTCCACAGATGACTACTGTCCTAGAAAAAAAGAAAGCTTTGAAAAAATAATTAACTTTGGAAGTTCCTCCTTTCCCTTGTACCTCCACATCTAATACTGTGACCCCTTCCAAAATGTAAGTGCAATCTGTCCAAATAGCTCACTGATCACCAGAGTTTGGTTATTTCTATTAAGTATCACTTCAAACAGGTTCAGGACTTCTACTGCCTTCCAAATGGTTTCCACTTTGGTTTCAATTCCTCATTTACATGGGTTCACAGATATTCTATAATCTCTAATGAGTTGGGGATATTACTAATATCAAATATATTATTTTTTCATCGTGTCCATCTTCGTTTTCTCCGCACCCTGTCTCACTGTTCCTCTGATCCTGTTTCCACACAAAGTAATATTTCTTCTCCCTTCCTCTTTCCTTCCAATTTAATCAGTTTCTACTCCCATAGCTGACATTTTACTTTCCTCTGTTCCTCAGCCCTGGGGACAGTTGCTTCTTTGAGAATTTTCTCTAACTCCTCCATAGCTTGAGTCCTTGATATTCCAATAGCATCTGATATGCTTGGGTACTTATTAACCGTGTGGGAAACACTAACAGTCAGATTTTGGAAGATGTGACGAGGATCAGAGAGAGAATATCAAGGTTGGTGTTAGGATGAGGTTCACCAACAGTCTCCATATTTAAATAGCAATGTCACTGTCTTCTCAGTGATTGCATCTTACAAAAACTAAACATGTAGGGTGTTCTTTCTTAACCTGTTTAGTCTATTCTCTAGTCAATAATCTAGTTGGTTGCCACCTGATGTTACAACTTCAGAGGCTTCCCTTTGCTCTCTATAAGGGACATCCATTTTTAACAATCACTATGGCATAACACTGTATCTATACAGAAAACAACCTCATTAATTAAGAAGTGGTCTATTCAAGTAAAACCTTCTACAAAGACGCCAGCCTTGCTGAGCTAATGGTGGAAAATTTATAGATTTTAGTACTGAAGATTGTAGTAGTATGAAGATTATTTTTTTACATGAGTAATGAAGTTTTATCCATATGCTTATTTTTTCATGGAATGGAACAATTACCCAACAACAAAAAATAATTCAATATTGAACTAAACAACTTGCTTCTTAATTTCTTTCTCATCAAAACAAAGTGACCCAGAGGGTTGGCCACAGAATAGTTTAGAGCAAAGGTAAGAAAATTATGATTCATGGGTCAAAGTCTTTTTCTGAAAAGAAAGATTTATTGGATCACATTTTCACTCATCTGTCCATGTGTTGTCTACGACTGCTTTTGTGCTACAGTGGCGGAGTTAAGAAGTTGCAAAAGAGACCATGTGGTCCCCAAAGCCTAAGGGTTGTACCTGGGCCTTTGAAAAGAAACTTTTGCTAGCAACTGGTCTGGAAGATGCTTTGCTCTCTTGTCTTGTGTATTTGATCCTGTGATGGTAATAAGATGTTGTACACATTATTCAAACTTTAATTCTTTAATTATAGTTACCTTTACACATAAAAACTTATGGATGCTTCTTGGGAGTGACAAACTATTTTAAAATTTAGATTTTGTACTTCGTCCATGTAAATAAGGTTTTCATTCCTTTGATGATGAAGAAAGTTTGGGTTTCGTATAAAATTTGCAAATGCAGAGTATCTATCTTTCCAAATTGGCTAAGATAATCTAACAACTATAATTGGTTTCAAGAGTCTCAAGAGGCATTCTAACAGTATTTATAAAATTAAAATACACTAAGAGAGTCTATAGTCAATGAAAAACAAACAAACAAACAAATTTCCCCTTTTGCTGGGAATCTGGAGAAGGCAGTGGGTAAATCCATTTGAAACTTTCTGGTAAGATTGCAAGAGGAATCAGGGTTAAGTAGAATGATGTTGAAACAGGGTTTGTAACTTTTCTCTTCCCTGGACTACCTGAGGAGATAGGATCTAGATGGATTCAATCCCAGGTATGACCTTCCAATACAAACCTCTTACCTCTTGTTGTTTAAATGCATTCTCTTGGACTTTGGCATTCAGTGTTGCAGTATTGAGCTGCAAATCAAGCAGTGTGGTGTTCAGACTTATTAATGACTTGGAGACTTCAACTATTACATTTCCATGTCCCTGGATGAAGGAAAGTAAGGAACTTAGCTGGAAAAGAACGTCATTAAACCTTTGATCGGTTGTTACACTGAAATTTTGGAAATTCTTGGCATCTATGAGATTGGCTTCATTATCTGAAAGATATTGGATTCTCTTCTCCACGTTGCTCATGTGTTCCATAACGACTTCTCGAAACCTCATTGCATCTTCACTGTCATTTCCTTTTCCTGCGAGACTTGGAGATATATCATTTGCATTAACTGAACCAACTGTGCAATTCTTCATTTCCCATTTCAGGAGTTGAGCTGCGTATTTAAGTAAAAATAAACAGAGTCATGCCCTGTAACCTTCAATGCATCCACCATTCCATTCCACAACACTTCATCCCATTCTAACGTTCTGAACGCTATCCTAAATCAGGTATGTATTTTAAATATACAAAGTATGAACCAAGGTAGGCATACTGCTGAGAGGGAAACTGTCTCCTTTTCCCACTTTACATTAGAGTTTATCCCACAGTTAAGTCACTCTTTCTGAACTGCTGCTTAGATGAATCTTCTGGGCCATGGCACACGGCTCTGAGCGTAAGAGTAAATTCTAGAGATCGTGAAGTACACTGTATGCTGGTCCTCAGGTGTGCTGTTAGAGTGAAACGAGATAATGCTTAACACAGTGTCTGAAGTAAACATGTTGAGTAGGTTAGTTATTATGAAGACAAATGATAATGTGACAGAAACAATACGTGGTATCACTAAAGGTAGAAATATTAGTGTTATCCACTGTACGAACAAAGTGTTGGCTCATCTTCCTTATCCTGTCACTAAGCTAGCAGAGAGTTACCATTTTCAGTTTCCACAGAACTAATTTACTGTTGGTAGAGCAGGAAACTGGATAAAAGAAGTTTTTTTCACTTTAAAAAATATTGTTTTTATAAGACTCCTCTTTACTTATTATAAAGCATATATTTATAGCAGAAAATTTAGAAAAGACAAGGAATAAGGAAAAATAATTTACCATTAGTCTCACCGTCCTGAATTAAGTGCTAAGATTTTGGTATATGCCTATCAAATTTCTGTTCCCACTGTCATATTGTCATCACAAAAGCAAGATTTTATATACAATCTGGAGACTAGCTTTTAGTAGTACTCACCATAGGCTTTTGCACATTATCTAATATTGTTTTACAAAAATAATTAGAATAACTACATTGTATTCTATGTGTGATTCTACCAGATTTAGTTAACAAAACTCCAACATTTACTTTGCCTCTGTTTCTACTAATATATTGAACGCTTTGATGAACAATCTTATAAGTAATTATTTCCTGAATAAAAAAATTCTACTAAATGGTATTTGGAGGCATACGGAAGTGCTGATATATATTTCCAAATGGGCGTATGTTCTTTAAACAAGCCAATTATCCTTCTGAAAGGGTCTAGAGAAATACGTTTATAGTTTCAAAAACTGAAAAGCATAAACATTATTTTTGCAGACAAAAATAATATACAATTATACACAATGAAGAAAATGTTAAACACCATTTTATATAATCAGTGGTGGTTAAGATTTTATTGTTTCTTTCATCTCTCTTTATATATCTATATTGTTTATACCTTTTAGCTATGTATATATCAGTCTGATCCATATTAATTTGAGTGCGTAAGATTTTCCATATTTGACCATTACTGAGCAATAAAGAGTAACTTAATATTGCTTAAAAGTATATCTACATAAACAGTGATATCTGATCTGTCAGTTTTCTTAATAAAATGATATGGCAATAGTATCAGCTTTATAGGTTTTTGAGACTTAAATGAGACTACACATGAAAAACATTATATTCCACCCTGAGCTCAGGGTACCTGTTACACAAATGAGAGCTTGATATTTGCACGGGAACAAGCTGCCTGGTTCTGGAATCTAGTTCCATTCCTCCATTACTAGCTGGATTACTCTGAGAAAATTATTTATCTTTTCCTTGATTAGGTTTCCCCAGTGATCTAAAGGTAATAACTATCTAGCAGTGGTGCTGAGGGTGAATGCGATAGGGCATGTAAATCAAGTAGCACACAGATGGCACGTGTGACAACTCTACACAAATTAAGGTGCCTTATCCTTGAAAGATATTATCTTAGTTACAGAGTCTTCACCACCTTTACTTAAAGAAGCTGTTTGATGATGATTGTCATTGTAGCTATGATTATATTAAGTATTAAACTACATATGCAATTAAATCTCAATTAAAAATAAAACACATTATATCATATTTTCCTAGTTACATTCTCTTTAAAATTAGCTTATTTGAATTAATAAAATATGTAAGTACATTTTGATATAATCCACAACCGAGACCATATTGCATGTACATTATTTTACATTTCTAAATTTATCAGTAAATTATACAAAATAGTATACTTCTTACTTGGATCTCATCACATTTATTAAATTAAGTGTAGGGAGCAAGTTTTGGATTGACAGCCTCATTCATGGAGTCATCAATTCTATGATTTATTTATTAAGCACCTACTATATATAAAGCACTGCTTGAGCGACTCTGGGAATTGAAAATGACTGGGAATGGATTTTGACTTTAACAATAAGAAATCTAAACTAACAATATTTGCAAAATTATCTCAAACTTGTCCCTTAAAAATTTTTCTTTTGTGATAATTACTGCTTTTTTAGGTAGCAGTTAATAATCTAAGTTCTGGAGGAGAGCTGCCTGGATTAGTGATTCTTGCTTTTTCCTTTATAAGCTGTGCCTTTGAGCAAATTAATTGGTCCATGCTTCCATTTCACTATCTGTATAAATGGGATACTACTAGTCAGTGTTTAAATAATTAAAGGAGCTGATATATGCAAAGTACTTAGATCTTTTCCTGGCACATAATACACATTTGATACTTTTCAATATTTTAATTATTATTAATATTTCAGATTCAATATCTGTATGCCCAATACTGATAACAAGGGGGATTAATGTTGTGTAATATAAAAAAATTGGGAGGACGTTGAGTATCCCATGAGAAAGGTAGTATCTGTGCTTTATTTATTTTTTATTGGAGTATAGTTGCTTTGCACTGCTGTGTCAGTTTCTGCTGTACAGCAAAGTGAATCAGCCATACGTATACATATATCCCCTCTTTTTTGGATTTCCTTCCCATTTAGGTCACCATAGAGCACTGGGTAGAGTTCCCTATGCTATACAGTAGGTTCTCATTAGTTATCTATTTTATACATAGTAGTATATATATGTCAATCCCAAAAGAGAAAAACAAATATCATATATTAATGCACATATGTGCTTTAACAGACATATTGATCTAATTACTCAACCATATAATTTTTACTTTCACTGGAAATAATTTTATTTCATATGGGTAAAGCAAAACTTCTTCACAGTATAGAAAGGGAAGACTTGATTTAACAAAATGTCATGTAACCAAGGATTTTTCTTTAATACCAAGTTCAACATGAACTGACAATAAAGGCTATTTTTTGCTTATAGATTTAAAAACACAATATTGCTTATTTTCCCAAATCTTGAATGAAAACTAATTTAATCCTTACTTTCTTTAAAAAATTGAATACTGTACCAGAAATCTAGGTAAAGAATGACAGAGTTCATATTTTCAAATGTTCATTTCTTTCATTATCATCAGAGAGATGCCATTTTGTGACTTTTCTATTTTACATTTGAAAGGAGACAAATTTTATGGCTTGTGCAAAGACCTAGGGAGAGAGTTATATTTGATTTTACAGATCACATTTGCTCTTTCATGTTGGCAAAACCTTCTTCTACCAAAAATTTATATTATTTTGAGCTAAAGGATCTTCAATGTATCAGTAACAATTTATATACATTCATCTTAGATTATATCTTATTCTTCAGAGACATTATTCTATGTCACTGTACTGTGATAGTGATCTAGTAGCTTCTTGAAGAAAAGGTAGCGCATGGAGAAGATTTTATAATTAAGAAATATCTTTCAATGTATAAGACACTTTAAATAGAGTTTTCATGTATAACACTTTATTTTATCTACTGATTTATATTTGCCAAAACAGAGTAATTTCTATCATTTCAGGGATACATTTTGTCTATATTTGAAAGTTTTGGATATCAAGTAGAGATATGTATTGCATTTTAGATATCTTTTGGAAAATATTCTGACCTACAACTTACAGCTGTAAATGGATTGTCAGTGTTTATTATTCAAGTATGATAGACACAGGGAGATCTGTTTCAAATTCTGGTGAATTTGGGTGCTAATGTGAACTTATAAGATTTGAACATTTTTAGCTTTTTGTCAGTCGTAATAGGTACATGCTACAGCTTTAGGAAACAAAGCTACTTCAAATCAATCATTGTCAACCCTAGAAAAAATGTGTTGACTTGGTAGTATTTTCTAATAGCCCAGAGATTTTTGAACTTGGTTAGAACCCTGAAGTCTTTCCAGACTTCAGTTCGTATTCTGCCTGGGCCTAGTAGAAAGAAGTTGCACTCCCTGAGGTTGGCTCTGTAGGCCACGGTTTGTATAAAAGTGATGAAATGTACCAAATTCTAACTGGCTGATAGCTAATGATCCCTAACAATGACACATCTTTCAGTTATGCATTCCAAACTACAGATAAGCATATACATAAACAGCACACAGATAATCTCAGTTCATCAGGAAGTTAGTTGTTTAATGACAAACATATCAGGTTCTTTTACTTAGATGGCTGTGGTTGGTTTGACAGGCTGATTGGTTCCGTTTGTTGTGGTTGGCTAATGTTTTTGTTTCAAAATAGGAGTTGATTTTTACATATGAAAAATATTTTCCTGCCTAAAATTATGACAACTCTGTTTTGTTTTGTTTTTTTATTGGCCAACCATATTTTGTTCTAAAACCCCGATTGCACTGGGAGATAATAGACCACAGAAGTTAGGAGTCAGGAGCCATGGGTGGGAACTCCAACTCCATTGCTGAACAGTTTCCTTTTGTGGATGAGGGTAAGCATACATCTGCTCAAGGGTAACTGTAAGGCGTATTGAGATAATCTGTGGAAAATGTATAGCCTAGTGCCTGAACATAGTACATGCTCAGAAGCATTACAAAAATGTTACAGTTATTGTTGTTTTCATTTCTTTCTTAGTAGAATTTTTGGCTTTCTCTTGGAATATTCTTTAGGTTGTCTCTTGGTGGAGGAGGTTTGGCCTTTATTAGGAGAATTTTCTTATTAATCTGATTAGTATGCACATAAAAATATATCTTCCTCCCAGCCTATCTCTTGTTCGAGCATATGTCCATTTTGCCACTCACAAAGAGGAGAGCTACAAGGTATATAAATTCAAATGCCAATCAAATCCCTCAAAAATGCTCCTGAGGAAAATAATATTTACATATTTACTTGAGTTATATGCAAGCCATCCACCTCTGTAGAAATCCTCAAATTTATCCCCAATTCAAGCCAAACTCTCCAAAAAAAAAAAAAAAAAGTACCTGAAAAACATCATGTAGAACCCAAGCAAAGTGTTCTATTTTTCTTTTTCTTTGAAAGGATGCTAGCAGGTTATTTTCAGAGATGTTTTAAATAATACCCTTATGAAATATGTGGCCATATAAACTGTACGAATATTACTGAGGGATAGGCCATTATTTTACGAGGTTTCCTCTGTTTGAAGACTCACAGGAATACTTTCTGGTCTCAATACTAGGAGTAGAAGTGTATTTCTCGAAAAACTGGCTTATTTTTATATTTTAGGCATCATTAATGTAAATGATTATGTTTATATCCTCACACTGGCAACTAGAATACTTACCATGAAATTTATGATGCACCATTAGAAATATATAGGACTTCAGGGGGTAATATTTTTGAAGTGGTCTAATTCTTTCCATCTTACCTTTCCATATCTATATTTTTATCTCAAACTTGCATTTTCTATACTATTTAAAAAATTTTTTTTTACTTAATAACTTTGCAGAATCTATTTTTTCATGAAATAACTCTGAGGAACACTTTGTGATGTGAAGTCACCCTTATGAATCTCCCATATACAAAAGACTGAATGCTTCTTTTTCCTCCTGCAATAATTAATTCACAAGATGAGTTGCTGAGTTTCAGAACTCTAGAATACTGTACCTGCCACTATTCCGATGATAGGTACAAGAACTACAAACACAAGGAGATAAAGGGCAATCAGTGCAGCTCTGAAAGACTTCATTTTCTCTTGAAGAGTTGGGCCATTTTTAGGATCTGAAAAACAAAAGCCCAACCTACTGTTAGAAAACTTACTCTTCTTACTTAAAATTTTTGAAATCTCCAATTATATTGCTAGTATCAAACCTATTGGAATAAAAAGGGAACAAAAAAATAGGTTCTTATTTATTCAGTAGAAAGCAAAAGGGACAGTCACAGAAAAAGCCAATACAGGCATCAGTATAGACATCTGATTGTCTTATCCATTAACTAATCATCCAGGACAAAGTTACTATTCTCTGCAAGTTGTACTTGTCTCATTTGGGGGCACTAGCTGGAAAACTTTAGTATTGATACCATATCAACATACATGCAAACATAAATTTCATTCTTCTATTTCACATGGGAATATATTCTGGGTGAAAATAAAATTCTTCATGCAACTATGTAATTATACCATTTTTTTCACATTTTAAGTGAGATAAGAGAAACATTATTGTCAATAATAATTATGCAAATTGTCTCTCCTAATTCCATCTCAATAGTTTTGTATTTGGATGCTTCTTATGATTTGAATATAATGTGAAAAAAATGAAATAAAATGACTCACATTTTGATTAAACTTTGGAATGGATCAATGAAGCCCATTCTCTGGATATTTCAGAACATAGTAATATTTTAGTATTATCTGTTTATATGGAACACCAATTCACATAATGGGATGTTAACTGTAGAAAAGATAACTCAATGTAGAGGGGAAACTTACTAGCAAAGGAAGACATTTCTCTGATTAAGTGAATACAAATTTCTTTCCTATGGCCATTGTTTCTATTGTTTAATAAAAAAGAAGGAAATTTTGTTTTCAGGTTGTAAACTCCTAAATTAAAAGTTTAGACATTGTTCAATAATGTTCTATGAGGGATTGAACAAAAAAGGAGAAAAGAATTAAGTAAAGAGAAGAAAACAATAAAGAAAAGGGGGAAAACTGAAGGAAAAAAGAGAAGGAGTGGGGCTTCCCTGGTGGCGCAGTGGTTGAGACTCCGCCTGCTAATGCAGGGGACATGGGTTCAAGCCCTGGTCTAGGAGGGTCCCACATGCCGCAGAGCAACTAAGCCTGTGGGCCACAACTACTGAGCCTGTGAGCCACAACTACTAAAGCCTGCATGCCTAGAGCACATGCTCCACAAGAGAAGCCACCACAATGAGAAGCCTGCGCACCACATCAAAGAGTGGCCCCTGCTCGCCGCAACTGGAGAAAGCCCATGTGCAACAAGGAAGACCCAACGCAGCCAAAAATGGATGAATAAATAAATAGATAAATAAATAAATTTTTTAAAAAGAGAAGAAGCAACCACACTATAAGCAAGATGGGATATTCCATCTGTCAGGTGACTAAATTTGAAATCCAACCTGGCAGATGGAATATACACATTTAGGGTAAGTCTCAAGACCATAATTTTACATAGTGTCACTAACTCTAAGGACAATCTCCACGAGCACCCCACTCTTATTCTACTTACTCGGAGGAAGCAAAGTGGTCATCGAGTGAGCATCAAACTTCACAGATTCTGTACAGCTATCAGTGTCCTCCTGTTGATTGGGAAAGCTCTCCCACAGTTCCATACTTCTATCAAACAGGTGGAAAAATATGATAATTACACATGGAATTGCTAGGGCCCTTTGGCAAAAAGTTTCAAATTGACATTTATAATTAAAATCCAATTTTAGCAAGGGAACAAGTATAATTAGTTAGTTAAATTTACATATCTGCCCTATATAGCAACATATTATACTTACCCATAAGTTTTAATTTTAACATTAAAAGACAGATTTACATGAACCCACTCATGTATCTTTCTATGTACAAATGTGTACCTGTGATTGTAGATGTGTGTTTTTTGAGTGAGAGGTAACTTTGCTCTCTTAGCCAAAAAAACAAAACAAAAAAAACAAAAAAAACCCAACTGGCAGAAAACAACCATTTAGTCGAAAAGAAAAAAAAGAATTTCCCTTAGAACAAACAGTAGCTGAAAAGTTGAAGGAAATATTTCCTGTGATCTTTTATCAGAGGTTCCAGATAGAGCAAACAGTTATGCAAAATTTGGAACAAATGTTTCCTGTGATCTTTTATCAGAGCTTCATGAGCCAAGTTTTCTTTTGCCAAGGCATCAGCTTTATTCCTTTAGAAAGATTTAACAAAGTCTAGTCACAAGATTAGGAGCCAGCATTTTTCTTTTCCTTTGTCTTCCTTTGCTTCCCTTTGCTTCCCTTCGCTTCCCTTCCCTTTCCTTTCTCTTCCCTTCCCTTCCTTTTTTTCTTTTCTTTCTCACATATTTTTCTTTCCGGGCTTCCTTCACTATATACATTGGCAACATCTCAAATATGTGCTTGTATCTTTTTAAGCACAATCTATTATATTTTATGACCCAGTCTATGTCTATGTCTCTTTAAGGTGCATCAGAATCATTTGAAGGGCTTCCTTTAGAACACATTGAGGGGCCCCACCGCCAGGGTTTCTGATATTTAGGGTAGGGGTAAAGAATTTGCAATCCCAACAAGTTTTCTAGTGATGCTCTTGCTGCCCACCTGAGGACTGCATTTTAAGAACATTTGCCATGAAGAGAAATTGTATGACTTTTTCTTGGAAACAGTTCAGTTCATTTGATTGATAAATTTAGCCTAAAGCCAACATCTTCTGATCATTATTTATTTTCTCTAATGATGAGTTATGGATTTAGCACAGCTGAAGTTGTAACTGAGTGCACTGGCAGCTCCAGGACATCAAACTCATGTCTCCTCCAGAAACTGAAGGACAATCATTCATATGCAAACGTTCATCCTACTTTGGGAAGAGGTATTGACAAGTAAGGATGTGACTCAACTCCTGTCAATATATTTTAAAAAATATTACCAAGGAGATTCTTTATTTTGCAGTTTGTACCTGTATCATTCCATAACCTGGTCTTAGTTTTTTGTAAATCCTATTGATCTGACCAAGGAGTGTGTTCTTTAAATGCTTCAGCCACTCTGGAGGAAGCAGGCAGAGAGGGAATTTATAGAAACATTTTCTTTTCTTAGGCAGAGGTGAAGCTAAATAAACGATTATCTGGGAACATTCACTATTATAGGAAACTAAATTGATTAATTCAGGTCCAGACTCTCCTGCCATTTCCCCCCTTTTAATTCACTCTATTATTTGATTTGGATGACAGTTTTTTACTTGCCATGGAAAACAAATGAACAAACAATTTTTTAAAATGAGACGACAATAAAACTTAGCTAAATGCATTTTAAAACTACAGTTCAAAGCAATTGTGGGACCTCCCTGGTGGTGCAGTGGTTAAGAATCCACCTGCCAATGCAGGGGACACAGGTTCAAGCCCTGGTCCAGGAAGATCCCACATGCCGTGGAGCAGCTAAGCCCGTGCGCTACAACTACTGAGCCTGCGCTCTAGACCCCGCAAGCCACAACTACTGAGCTGGCGCTCTAGAGCCCGTGCACCACAACTACTGAAGCCCGCGCACCTAGAGCCCGCGCTGCGCAACAAGAGAAGCCACCGCAATGCGAAGCCCATGCACCACAACAAAGAGTAGCCCCCGCTCGCTGCAACTAGAGAAAGCCCGAGTGCAGCAATGAAGACCCAAGGCAGCCAAAAAAAAAAAAAAAGGCAGTTAGGACTGTGGCAAAGCTTTTAAACTTTGATCTCAGTTTATAAAGGATGGGCTCACAAAGTATATACATTTAGACACCCCTGCTATGTACCTAGAAATCTTTTCCTGTCAGTCTACCAGCCCCTTCTCCACGTGTTTGACTATGGTTTTGGCTCTAATAGTTGAGATATTATGACTCCATTTTCACCTATATACAAAGGAAACATCCTTGGGACTTCCCTAGCAGCCCCAAGGAAACATCCTTGGGACTTCCCTGGCAGCCCAGTGGTTAAGAGTCTGCCTTCCAATGCAGGGGACGTGGGTTCAATCCCTGGTCGGGGAACTAAGATCCCACGTGTCGCAGGGCAACTAAGCAGGCTTCTCATTGCAGTGGCTTCTCTTATTGTGGAGCACAGGCTCCAGTAGTTGCAGCATGTGGGCTCAGTAGTTGCGGTGGGCGGGCTCTAGCTTGCGCGGGCCTCAGTAGTTGTGGCTTGCGGGCTCTCGAGCGCAGGCTCAGTAGCTGTGGTGCATGGGCTTAGTTGCTCTGTGGCATGTGGGATCTTCCTGGACCAGGGATTGAACCCGTGTCCCCTGCATTGGCAGGCGGATTCTTAACCACTGCACCACCAGGCAAGTTCTCAATTTTGTTTTTCTTTAGGCCTCTACACTTTGATCTATCTTTTATGGGCTTTAGATGATAATATACATCTTTTACATTACTGTATTTCAAACTGTGATTTCTTTGGGTAGATTTATTAAAACTGAAAAAGAAAACCCTCTAATAAATGCCTACAAGTGGATTAGACTAAATGACCATATCTGGGAATTCCCTGGCTGTCCAGTGGTTAGGACTCCACACTTCCACTCCAGAGGGCATGGGTTCGATCCTTGGTCGGGGAACTAAGATCCCACATGCTGGGTGGTGCAGCCAACAAATAAATAAATAAATATCTGGGCTATAGAGGTATAGAGGGCTGAAAGGGAGATGAACACTAAAATCTGTTGAGTGGCATGATGAATGAAAAATATTTCCCTTTGGCTACTCTGGGTGCACCATGAGTTTTGTTTGTTTTCTGGAGCAGTGTATAACAAGGGTTAATCATGATCTGTATGAAATATCAGTATACTTTTTTCCATTAAAAAATAGATTAAGTTAATCATAGATGATGTTGTCATAAGATTGCTGGCATTTTCTGTTATTTCTTTCTTTTATTCTTAGTATCCATACTCGCTGAGAATCTCATCTATTTACATGGCAGAACCACTACCTGCGTCCTGACCAGGCCAATATATCCAGCTCAGGTCTCATGTCTCAGAATCAGATTTTTTTTTTTTTAATAATACAGCTAGCTACAATGGTGTACTTTCCACATCAACCTAACTTTTCTTTTTCCAGGATTTTTAATGTTGGCATGCCACCCATTTATATCATCTGTTTATTATTATAATCATTCATTTTTTTTTTTACTACTTTTTACTATTTTTTGTGTAGCAAGGCATACATGACATAATCAGGTGTATGGCAATACAGAATTAATATGGCAGTGCTAGAAAAGCATGGTCATTCAAACCAGGGGCCAGGACTTTATTCTAGATCACTCTCACCCAAAGACCCGTATCTGGTAGCATAGCAACTCCTCACTTCCTCAAAGCCATTCCTTCCACTCGATCTCAATTTTTATATTTCAGTTCATTTTTATCTACCCAGCCAGGCATCTTAGATAGTAGCAGTGGGGTAGGCAATTGAGGGGCGAATCCAAGAGGCATTAAGAAGGAGGAGGAAATTCAAAAGAATTGATGAACAAGCATCAAAATGTAGCACTTTAACAAAGACTAGGAGAAAAAAATCAAACAGTAGAAATTATTTTTCAGGGAAAAAATATGGCAGATACAAACAAACATATTTAGTAGCTAGTAAAGAAAGAACGGCAGTACTAAAAATAAGGAAGAAACTCTGACACTACAGTAGAACAGGAAGTCAGGGTCAGGGAAAAAAGAAAAGAATGTCAAGACATGCAGGTCACCCATAACCTGCCACACGGAATTTGAGCTGCATTACTCACATGGTAGAGGCAGAAGCAGATGCTGAGAAATCTGCTGAGTAAATGTATAAAAATGAAATGCCTTGAGTGTATACTGGAAATCTAGTCATGCTCATGCTTTTCTGTTGAGAAGAGACGCTGAAGATAGTACTGAGGTAGTACATTGAGGACAGCGTTATTTTTTCCTGCTTGTTCTTCTCATCTCCCAAACTAATGACACTGGAGTGTGCCTGGTCTCAGTTCTTGTCCTCTTTTTATCTTTATTCACTCCCTCGGTGAGCTCACTGGTCTCATTGCTTTAGATACAATCTATACGGCTGATGACTCTCCATCTTCATCTCCCACCCAGGCCACTCCTTTTAACTCCAGACCTGGATATGCATCTCCCTAACAACACCACCATCTGGATTTCTAATATGGCCCAAACCTAGGGGTCTCCTTGTCACCCACTTTCTGTCATCCTCCACATCCAATCTACCATCAGATCTTGCTGGTCTGATTTCAAACCCTAAGCAGGAACTGACTGCTTCTCGTCACCTCCCCTCCTGCCATCCTGGCTTAAGCCCCACCATCTTTCTCACCTGGACAATTTTAATAGCTCCCTATGTGGTCTCTCAGCTTCATTCAGTTCCCTCCACTTTACTTTCCACACAGCCTCTAGAATGTTCCTCTGAAAAAAGTAAGTCAGATCATATCACTCCTCTGCTCAAAACATGTGAACACTCTCCCATTTCGCCCGGGTCCTGACTAAAAGCTCACTAGCTCAGACAGACCATTCTCCAGCATCAGATTTAAAATGGCAGCCTACCTCTTTCACTTCCTCTTCTCCTTCCTGCCTTGATTCCCAGCCCCAAACTTACCACCGTCTAACATGAAATACATTTCCCTTGTTTATCCTGTCTATTGTCTGTCTCTTTTTGCACAAGTTAGA